ATGCCGATTAGACCTTTGACCTTGTATAAATGTCATTTCAGCGGATTCGGCAAAAACCCGTGATATTAATTCTGTGACCTTATTTACATAGTATTTAGTATCATTAATATTACTTTCGCTTGTATTAATTAAATTGTTTAATTCTTGAAGATATACCGGATTTAAATTCTGGACAAAAACGTTATGTTTGCTATCAAGCCATTTAGGGTGCTTCTCAGGGCAATTAGTCTGGGGCAAAGGCTCAGGAAACGACTGTAGATTAATAGGAGGGGTATTAGTGGACAAATCTATGGTCAGAAGTCGGTGGCCGTCAGAGAATAAAGTGTCTAGCTCAATGACATCAAAATTGCTGGTGTGCTGTAAACAATTTACAGATGAAATGGAATAATCAATGATAGACTTATCTCTAAACGTTAACATTCCACGTGATTTATCATTCCCAATTCTACCATTCATAATAAATAAGTTATTATTCTTACATATTTCAAGTAATTTAAGCCCAGTATTGTTAACTTTACTGCACTGTGAAGCCCTATCTCGTAAAATATTTAAGTCCACGAGTTTATTTATATGGTTAAAGGAGCTTATTGTATCCGCATCAAGATCAAGGAAATTTGATAAAAAATCATCCAGTTCAATATAATCTGGAAGATTGGAAGTATGACCATTTGCATCTCCCGTCAAGATAAAAAATTCATAGCCACTACATTTCGACGCGATATCATTTTGGAATTCAAAAAATTCGTCTGCACTAAAAAATCGAGACTGCTCTGGGGGAACGTACATGGCACCAATTACTAAATCTTGGCCTTGGCAATTAAAGTATGTATTAATTTTAATCCAGTATACGTATTCGCAATTCGATTCTAGGATTTGAACATTGTTAACTATTGATTCATGGACAAAAAACCCGATACCTCCAGATTTACGTTTAAATTTTTCTAGGCGCGGTTTAGAGAAAAATGTATAGTGCGGGATATTTATAATATCCATTTTATCAAGTTTTGTTTCGGTTACGCAAAAAATAGTGAACTGGTTGATTAAATTTTTAAATTCTGGATAATTCAGTCTTGTTTTCAAACCACATACATTTAGGCTTCCGATTTTCAAATTTTGTTCGCAAAAATTTTGCATAATTTTGTTACGAGAACTTACTGTTTCAAAACACAAATTGTCACATTTTTCTGGCTTACGTAGTTTATCTTTTTCAACGACAGTATCCCCAGACACTTCATAAGTACTTTGTAAATGCACGCATATTCTCTGCTTAGAAGAACAAGGTAAAAGTAAGCATTGTTCACAGAACGCCACAGTCCCCGTGTGTTCCTAGCTTCCACTTTTCCCGTCGTCGGCAGTGGTTTCGATCTTATCTTGTGTCGCTGGTTCGAATCCAGGTTGCTGAAGTGGTTGATGGACTTCTAGCAGATAGCCAGAAGAAGTAAGTGGGATAGCACGTGGTGGAGCAATATCATTGAGGTGCTTGTTTGTGACCCCAGTTGCGTCGTCAGGCGATTGAGTGAATTTTCCGCCTTGTGATTGAGTGCAAACCTCACCTTGCATAGGTTCAGCATCAGAAATGTCCTCAGCAGTGGTAGATAAACGTGCGGAGGCCTGGATAGAGGCCTCGGCCATATGCTTGAATTTTTCCTGAATACGGGTTTTAACATCCGAATTTCTCGATCCCCGAAGAATATCATACCATCCCGGAAATAAGTTGCGCACCGTATCACCCTTAATCTCCAGAGCTGCTGGGAATTTCAGTTTAACACACTTGGGGCCGTACTTATTTCTAGCAGCTTTGTATTCCGGCCATAATTCTTGTCGTGCTTCTCGGATCTCCCTTGGGTAGTCCCTCGAGATTCCAAAGTTAGTTCCCTTTAACAGTGATGCATTTTCAAGAATAAGATCGGTGTCAGCAGGATCACTAAACGTAACCAATATTGAACGATGGCGAGGGTTCACGTTGCCGTGTGAACGGTTAACCTGACGTTTTCCGATTCGATAAGCACTTGTAATGTTCATTGTTTTTGTGTCAATTCGGAGTCTCGTTCTGATAAGATCTGTTACTGATCTCAAGCAGTCATCATGGTCGACCTCAGGGTGGCCACTGAATATGAGATTACAGCGCAGTTGACGGGCCTCCATGTCTATACTTTTATACTCGAGCAACCGTAACCGTGACTCTGTAATGTCTTGTGTCGCCGCTGTGTGGTACATATGTCTATTAATACACTCAAGTTTATAGTTTATAGGTCCAAATTGTACCATCATATCAAACAAACTATTCATTTTTTCTCCCATGTCAAAAGAAACAAATTCCTCTTTCGAAGGAGGCACAAAAGATTGACCAGGAATGTCAAATGGGTGGGGTGATGCCGACGTGGCACTCGATGAACGTCGTTGACGTTTTCTTGTTTGCTGTACAAAATCTTCGCTCAAAGGGGCAAATTTACCTTGGTATGACATGTTTAAGTCCAAAAGATTGATAGAATCACCAAAAATCCCAAAATTTACTAGTATTTTAAGCGTTATTGACACTTTATTTAGGCTCTTTACGGAGCTGATTCAAAAAACGTCCGCCATTATCGATACCCATAATTCTCCCTAAATGACATTCATTATGAGGTGTGAACCAATTAGTAATAAATGATCTGTACCTTGTTTATTGTTATTTCAAAGTGTCAATACATGTTGTATATTCAATTTGTCTATCTATGTGATATCTTGGTAAAACATCTTTAATGACAATGATATTTATAGTTATATTACCCTGTTTAATTCATTACTTACTTATGTACTTATACATCTCAAACTCATTATAGTTTTTTTATGTTTTAATATGTAAAGAACTAGCTATAGCTGATACAATAAAGATAAGAAAGATAAAAAAAAAGCTTCGAAAAAATAATTTTGCAATTTTACAGAATTGTATGTAGCATGATATTTAACCTAAATAACAATTAATAAAAATATTTTATCAAAACATATATTTGATTACAGATAAATTGATTATAAAGTTGCAACAAAATGTAAGGCCTTCTTTATGTTTATTGTCTGCAAGTTCCTTCTTTGTGTATATTGTCTGCAAAATTTTTCTCTGTTTTACAACTGATCAACAGCATAATTGCCCATTCACACCTTTTGACCAGTTGACAAGGGATTAAACACCCCCTATATAATCTATATTGTCTGCAAAGTCTAAAATCCTTCTTTATTTAACTTGTCTGCAAAATCCCTCTATGTTTAACTTGTCTGCAAAGTCGTCTGCAAAGTATACCGTCCCGGTTTATACGCGGAAAGTCCGAGCGGGGCCAAAGGCCCCGCGAGGGCTGTAGCGCTCTTAGATAACATGTATGACGCGTATCAATTCAAAAGAAATTAAATTAAAAGTTAATGAAAAATTCAAAAAAATATATATCCCAAACCTAATGAGCTGCGAAAAAATCCTTAGTTAACGGGCGCCGCCATTTTGAAATCTATGTTGTAAAGCGCTTGACAAGCGCCTCTTGTAAAACGCTTAACAAGCGCTTCAATGGCTGAATATTTAGAATGGTTTAAATGTTATGAATAGCGGGCGCTTTTTGATTTTCATTCCGAAAAGCGTGTAAACTACACTGATTTTTTATCATTAAACGGCCCAGTCGTCTGCTTTTTTATCGCTGTCGTCTCAACAGGCTGAACGGTACTATTTTGGCATAATTACATTTTCCTATTTAAAGTCCTAGCATTATATTTACTTTTGCATATTTGGACTACCACAAATTATACATGTTTCCTTTTGTACATTTAACTATATTTTAACATTTTTAATTAAGTTACTTATGCAAGTTTATGCAATAACTTGAGCTAGTCCTACTGGACTATACTGTATACAACTACCAGTTCTAAATATATCTAAGTGAAATTCCAAGCATATTTTCACTTGATTTCAATTGATTTTTCTGAAAAAAAAAATTAATAAAAATTAACTAGACTCTACCAGATCTTATGCATTATTTTCACACTTAATATGTCTACATTCAGCAAGCATACTGGTAAATAACTGTCTATTTTCAACGAGCATAATTATTGGCTGGACAACAATATTGTAGGAAATCAATTCCAAGAACTTCAAACAAAAAAAGTTAAACATTCAAATGAAATAAACCAAGAAAACAATTATTGTACAGAAGTAAATAATGATTCACAGGCTTCTACACAGGTATATTTACTCTCTCCAAATCAATCTGAGCATTTACATATGCAGGATGATAATTACAATGACCAGAATATATATTATTTTCACGGGAGGGCTTTTGTCCGCCTGTCATTTTTACGGGAGGGCTTTTGTCCGCCCTGTCATTTTCACGGGAGGGCTTTTGTCCGCCTTGTCATTTTCACGGGACGGCTTTTGTCCGCCTTGTCACTTTTTAACGGGAGGGCTTTTGTCCGGGAGGGCTTTTGTCCTACACTCGTTCAGCACACCAGTACCGACCAATTCAACAGATAATTTCGATCAGAGGTAGTGTACTGTGTTGAACATTATCAATATAATTCAGAAAGATAATTTCTTTGATACTGCATAATTTACATGAAGATCTACACGACTTTCCGCGCCATAGGTAGCACCTAATTTCATATTACCGGAACACGGTATTTAGTGTGGCGCTCCAAGTTTCAAGTTTTCAAATTTTTATTGATATCTCAAGGCCCAACTGGGCATGTGAGAAAACAACAATATAACAAATGTTAACAAAACAAAGTAAAGTGATACATAATTGAAATGGCAATGTTATGAACATAATTATGTACATAAAAAAAGAGAACAAAATATAATTAAAAATAGAATAAAAATATAACATATGCTCCAATCTCACTCTCGGAAAGGTCAATACGAACGAATTTTAAGACCTAAAATTATATTAAATCAAACAATTTGGTTCTAAAAGTAGCAATACAATACTTCTCAGACGATTGTCATCAAAAGACAATAAAATAGACAACAATTCTGCATTACAAACCTCTTTGCCAGTATTTGAGACTGAAAAAACTCTTCATTCCCAAAAACGGTGAACAATCGTTACAAATGGTGCAAAATTTTCAAAGGGAGAGAATTATGGATGGTAATGTAACGATTCGCCACACTAACGATTCGCCACATTAAGATTCGACACAGAGTATAAACTATTCGCCACAGTTAAATAACGATTCGCCACGTGTTCAAATAAGAACTTTTTCACTCCTGTTTTCAAATTAATGATGGAATACTTTTTTCCATTCTATATTTCATTTTGTTAATTACATAAATTAATTGCATGTATACTAAAACAGCTTTTATTGAATAAAAACACATGAAAACCAAATATTTAATTACCAAAATTTCATTACACATTGTAGATAAGTTAAACTTTATTTATATAAACTGAAAAATTATACGAAAACAGCTTTTATTGAATCACGGATTTATATTACAAATCCGTGATTGAATAAAGACACATGATAACATACATATTTTATTACAAAATTTACAAACACAGTGTAAATATGTTTACATTTTTTTAAATTTTAACCTGGAACGCAAGTCAACCAGGAGTGTGCAGTCAAAATTGAATTATTACTCTTAATTTAAACATTTAGAAGGGTTATATTTATATTATTATGTATAAAGGTATTTTAAGGTAGAAAGAAATATCCTAATTGACACTTTTTCAAGAATCATTTTTACACTATCCCAATTAATATAAGCTTGAAACAATTACCTTAATTGTGATATATTATATATTCCAAACATAATATGTTAGACTTTTATGTAAGGAAGATATCCAGGCAGGTTAGTTTTACTCGGGTGGTATTTTTTTGCAAAAAAAGAATAAAGAGACACATCAGGTCTTCCTTCTTCACCTTCAAAGCTGAAAAGTCACCACAATAATTATGTTACCAAGATTTTTTTAAGTAACATGGTCACATATTTCACATTTGTTAGTCTCATTTTTGCCTAATGTGCTTTAAGTCTACTGAACAGTGCAAACGAAAAACCACATGTATCAAATTTATGATTCCTCTCACCAGTGTGTATAGTCATATGTCCTTTTAGACAGTTTTTTTCCATGCAAATCCACGATCACAAATCTAATTTTATAATTCTTCTCATTAGACTACAACTACGCGTTAGAGAACGACTGGATTATCAGTGGTCTCAATAGTGGGGTTAGATAAAGAATAAAACAATGAATTGAAACTAAAACTACACGGTGGTCTTAAAAATTGAAAAGTGGGGCGGTCTTTAATGTAGATCATGTAACCTTTAAAATAAAGAACTGAAAATACCGCTCTTTTGAAAATTGGTTTAAATAGAGGGGTAGTCTTAAAAATCAAGAATGGTCTTAAGTAAGTATACGTATGGGTTCTACTGTACTCAAATTTGAATAGAAGGAATTTATACGTAAACTCTTTAAAACTAATTAATTATTATTTCCTGGACATGATAAAACATTAATGCTATTGTGAGAAAATCAAGGGTTATTTCATAGGTATGGATACTATAATAATTATGTTGTTTACAGAATTATCTTTATGTGTAAATAAAAAACATATACAACTTTTATATTCAATTCTATGTTTATTTGGTTTAAACATATATACAATGTTCATCGCCAATACATGTAGTATAACGGCTGCACAAGATAAAACAATACATATTTAGAAGATGAAAAAAGGATGATGATAACAATTACATATTTTGGACACGAGTAAAACCATTATAACATGATATGCTTGTAAAACATGTATGCCCCCTATCGGCAGCCAATTGACATTACGCCAGAGAGGGGATCTCTCCGCCCACTGATTCTCGTGACCCGGTCAGTAAGGACCTTAGACAAAATACGCTACCCATGTACATGTATTCGCAAAGCTGTTGTGCCACTAATGTTACCAATGAATTTACCTTATATAAATTTTGTAAATATAAAATTGTGATGCTTTTAATGGTTTTATTGAATAGTAGAACTGTAATTCAATGTATAAATGTATAATGGTATTTAAAAAAGTAAAAACAAATCTGCATTAACGTATTAATGATGCATGAAACGTTTTGCAAATATGGTGTTACTTCTTGTTGACTTCAATGCCAATATATCATATTATATCTTATAAATTCAAAGAAAGACTATAATTATGTAGAAACGTATATGATTATGTTATGATTGTTTTATTTTGAAATTGAAGTAGCGAAACATAAAATCATGGAGCTTAATATAAATTGTTTATATATCTGTGATTAACAGTTAAGTCATATTAGTGACACACATAAATAAAAAATTATTTTTCGGGTTTTATGTGCGTAATTCAGTTTTTATAATACATTAATTTGTTCATGAATTGTTAAAATGGATTCAGAAAATTGCATGCCCTTGCTATTTTTATTTGTTTGGGTCGTCAGACCAAACAAATAATGGTAGCGAAATTTCAAAGTCTAATGTTGTTAACTGCAAATGCCGAAAGTAGTCCACTTTTTGAAGCGGTTACTTCCCTTTTGTATGTACACTAACGCCGAAAAATTAAGGGGAGATCACTGCGTAAAGATGGTCAAAGACAGGCGCGTTAATTTTCAAGCAAAGTAATTCCCGAATGGTCGAAGATTTCTAATATTGTTTTATTGTATTTTCTGATCGAAAATAAGTAAATACGAAGCGGACATTCAATCTCTGACACAGAAGTTTACGACAAACCTAACAACAAGTAGTTCTCAAAACAGCTTAAAACTAGCGATTTAAAAGAAAGAAATATTTTATTTTGTTACAAGTATCCAACAAATTACAACGCATTTAAAGTTAAACAATAGTGTTGGCTTATAGAATTGTCAATAAATGCACAATCACAAATTACGCGGATGCATATGATTTTATCAATGAAAATACTATGTCGATTACCGAATACTACACAAACCGAGTAGTGGAATATATAGATTCTACATTTCGGACTGTTTGGGCGAGAAGATTTTCGCTAAAATATTTAATTCAATTTTAAACAACAGGTTTATCCTGAACAAAATACCTCGAAATTAATAAGGATTACAAACCCGAAATGCAATATAAGTTCTTAATTTAGAATGACTTGATGTTATTCAGACCGTGTGTATATAACTTCTCCGTGGTACAGTGGTAACGCGCTCGCTTAGTGAGTGAGAGGTCTCATGTTCAAATCCCAGTCGAGGAAACTTTTTTTTTGTGTTAAATTCTTTTTTAAGTGTCTTTGTTAAAGAAGTAGCCATGATATGCAAGGATAAAGTGTGGCTGTCGTAAAAAATGATCATAAATGATTTTTTGATGCAACTCTAGTTATGCAGAATTCCGTATGTATCAAACTCTGGTGCCTTGCAAAATGAATTATAATACATAAAAATAAACTTATACAGGAAAATGCATACAGATATACAGTACGATTTAGATTGTGCAAAGATCAGAAAATACCACAGAACTTGCAGCCCTTTGATTCTTTATAAATATACATGCTTATAGTAAGCTCCAGGATTATTTACATCTGTGTTAAACAACAGTTAAAGTCGTAACAAGCCCTAATTTAGAATAATATGGTTTTCTTCAGGCTGTTCACATATAAATTCACCGTGGCTGAAGGGTTTTCGGGCTCGCTTAGGAAGCGAGATGTCTGGAGTTCAAATCCCAGTAAAGGTAACTCTTTTTTTTCAAATTGTTAAAGTCAAATAAACATTGGATTGAATATCAGTGTTGCAATTAGTCTTATAGCCAATTTACTACAATTAAAACGCTGGAAAGCATTGGTGGCACTATACATATAATCTCACAACCTGCACCTTTCTTACATTCTGAGACCCAAACAAATTCAGCGCCTTCTGTGCTTTGATTAATAGATAGAATGGGAAAAGTGGATTTGTTTAAACCTTTTTCCTTTCCAATGCATTGTGTTACAGCCAGAATAGATGTTTCGTACTTATTATTTCCATATGTAGAAAATTATTGACTTATTGTATAATAAACAAATGTCAGTTTATTTGGTAACTTAATTAATATATGATACAAAAAGCTTTCAATTAACAGAAAATTAAAATAATTTCATTCTAAATTACTTCTGCACCATTGTCTTAGACACGTAGCTTGTCTTAAAGGAAAATGGTGGACATCGTAGGCATCTTAGCATGGAACTAATAACAATCGCTGATTGGCTTATCTCTGTGACCCCTGCCTGTTTGATTGACAGGCGGCGTAATGTCAATTAGTCATGTGATCAGGTTATTATGCATGACGTCTGACCCAGTGAACAAACAATTAATAAGGGTTATCTAGAATCTACTGGTCATGACTAGTCACTACGTAATAATTATTGTGACCCCATAGGTTGTGTGCAGCAATTTAAGTTATTATAAACCTTACCAAATAATATATGCATAAATTTTATGAATCATGTAGGCCTCATTAATGACAGCCAAGTTGTTATATTACATAAGACCTTCAAATGTGCATTCCAAAAGCATTTAATATAAAAATATCAACCAAGGCAACTTGAGTTGTTGAGTTATTGGTCAGAAACCATCATTAGAACAAGGTCTATATGACATTGACCCCTTGACCCAAAAATCAATTGGGGTCATATGCTGGTCATGACCAATCATCATACCAAGTTTGAAGTATCTAGGCCTGAGCGTTCTTAAGTTATTGATGGGAACCCGTTTTCACCTACAAGGTCAATGTGACCAAGACCTTTGACCCCAAAATCAATAGGGGTCATCTGCTGGTCAAGAACAATCACCATACCAAGTTTGAAGTTCCTAGGCCTAAGCGTTCTTTAAATTAGTTATTGATCGGAAACCGTTTTTTTCATACAAGGTCAATGTGACCTTGACCTTTGACCCCAAATCAATAGGGGTCATGACCAATCACCATACCAAGTTTGAAGTTCTTAGGTTTAAGCATTCTTTAGTTATTGATCGGAAACAGTTTTTTACCTACAAGGTCAATATGACATTGACCTTTCACCCCAAAATCAATAGGAGACATCTTCTGGTCATGACCAATCACCATACCAAGTTTGAAGTTCCTAGGTCTAAGCGTTCTTTAGTTATTGA